CTGGAGATTAATGGTATGAGATGTGTACGTGAGGGTTTACTTGTTTGGATTATCTCCTCAATGTGATTTTCTAGTATTATTAATCTCTAAGATACGATTGTGGAATTTCGAGGACGAAATTCTTTTAAAGGGGGTGAATGTAAAACCCCATGAATTTTGAAAAGTAGTGTGAATTATATTGATAAATAATATCTAATTATGATGAATAGCATTTATGGATGAATGATTATGCTAAAAATTGATTTGAGATCAATTAAGAGAATATATGAGAGTATGCAAAGGTTAAACATGCAATAAGAAGAAACCTAAAAAAAATAACCAGTTAAGAGTATATATGCATTACACAACGATATAGTTCGAATCTGGAAAAACTCAAAAGATAAAAGTTATAGGTCTCTTAAATAGATTTCTAAAAAAATCTTAAATCACCTTATTCAAAGGTCGGACGATAAAGTTACAGCCAAAATACCAAAGACTATTTTCCTAGTCAGACTAGGTTTCCTGATTCGGGTCAAACGAGTTTGTTTCGGGTTTGCCTCGATAAATACATATGTTTTTCATGAAATTATCTTTTTGTATCATATTTTTGAACCCTAGTAGACCCTCTTCCTCTATCTCAAACCCTAATCATAATTTGTGAGATTTGGGAGAGTTCTTGAGGCGTTTGTCAAGAGGAAAGCGAGATTTTGCGACTTTGGTGAAGAGAGACCTTGCCCGCATATGTTCAGGAGTTTAACATGATGTTTGAGACAAGATCATATTCCTCCAAACCTTTCTCTGTAGTTTATTCAAGATTTAATATGTTTAATTGATAAATCTCATGTTTAAGCTTAACCTGATGTTTTAAAATCTTAGTTTATGATGTTCATCTTTAAACCAATATGAAATCTATAGTTTTAGTTGTTGTTTATATTAGTTTGATAATCAAGATCATTAGGGTTATATTTAATTTTATTTTTAACTTATTAATCATCCTTAAATCATGTTTAAACCCTAGTTTAATAATTATTTGAGTTTTCCAGCTAATTAAAGAGGTCTAAACCCTAGGTTGATGATACCTAAGTAACGTGAGAATGTTTAAACGAATTTATCTTTGTTAAATCATTATAATTTATCATGTTTCCTTAACCATGTTAATAAATTAAGTTAATTGAGAATTTTTGAGTTAATTAGGATGATAACCTTAATTAGTTTAATTCTAGTGTTTATATCATGATGAGTTAACCCCTGTTAAATAAATATAAAAGTTTAAATCTTGTTTCATATTACATGTTAATTAAATTTTGAGTTTTGTTTGAGAACAGTTTTAAAATAACGAAACTTGCAGATTTGTTTTTTCTCTCTAGCCGGTCGACCGATCGGGACAAGTCGATCAACCGGTAAGGCCCTAAGCGTGCACATTGTGTGCATGGACCTACGCCCTAAGGGCGGTCGACCGACCTGTGTTCTCTTTGTTTTTGAGTGGTTGTTTTTGCATCGTTTGACCGTGAGTGTGGGGTTCGAGTTGCACGATGACACACGTACAATCATGAGCATACATGAATAGTGTTGTAGCACACACACATATATCCTGGAGAGGATTATTACTTGTATTGTTTTTAACCACACTTGGGATATGGGTTATTTAAATATTATATACGTGTATGGATATCGTTGATGAGCACTGCTCAGTACTAGTTGGGATAGTACGTCGATATACCATTAGTACAGGCCATTGAGTCGGATTTTAGGATGCTTGATCTAGTAGTCCGTCCTGTACGTAGATGTGATGAGTCTTGTGAGTCGTATACCTAGGATGCCTTGATTTGGTAGTCCGTCCTGTATGTTGATGCGATGAGATTAATGAGACGTGTATACTATTAGGATACTGATTTGGTAGTCTGTCCCGCATGATAATATGATGAGTTATAAACTTTGCAAGGATTTACATTGTGATAATTATCTGATAGCCTGAGTCTTGGTGGACGCCTTTATGAACATAACTCATCACTGAGTTATATATGACCGATGTGCTTTACTCTTATAAGTACGTGAGATTATATGCAGTTATTTACATTATCTTCTAAAGGACAGTGGAAGATATTTTTGGTCCGATATTGTGATGATTTTACTTTATTGTATTGCTATCATTTATTCTTAGTTGGGATTGATGATTAGCGATTCATAATTTGAGACATATAGTATATACATGAGTATTTTCTTGTTTAGTTTATTTTGCTCGACGTACCAGTCTCGTGTTGTGAGTTTCTAATTATTGAATCTATTTAGATTGTTTATTCTTAGTCAAGTATTGATATTTAGTCATCTATAATTTGAGACATATGGTATATACATGAGGGTTTTCTTATTTGGATTATTTCGTTTGACGTACTACATCTCGTGTTGTAGGTTTCTAAATATTAATTCTATTTAGATACAGGATAAATGATCTAGGTAGACTATACTTAATAGATAGAGCCTTCATCACATCTAGTAGCCATTCCCCTGGGGACGGATGGAGATGATCTTGTTGTAGTGATCTGATGCTTTTTTTGTTTTTCTTTTTATTTTCCAATTCCTTTCAGGCAGCAGCTCAGAGTTCCGGAGAGCCGCAGGATGATGGACTTTTAGTATAGTCGCCGTCACATGTTTTTAGAAGATGAGTTTCCACCATAGTTGATATTTTCTTTCAGATTTTTAGAGTTTTATATTTCATCTTGTAAAGGCTATGTGCCATTATTTTCAGTTGACTCATATTGAGATACTTCACATTATTTCAGATTTTAGTTGTATTCAGTTTATTCAGTTGAGACATGATTATATTTATTAGATATCTCTTTCTACATCATATCTAATGCATTTATTTCCCTTATTTTGCATGTTTTGTACCTACACTTGTTGTTGATTCCTCTAGAGAGATATTATTGTGAGTGTAAAATGTGTTGTTTCACAGTATGGGTAGGTTTGACATCTCTGGGTTCACCTTGAACTGTACCCATGTGTGAAAATAGGGGCGTCACAAGAACCCATGTTATTTAAAAAAAATTCCCTCGTTTGTGCAAAGGTCCGTTTTAATTGGGTTAGTTTCCTTCAGATTCTCCTGTTAAATGATAATTATACAACTGTTTTTAGAATATAAAATTATAACCCTTAATCTTTACCACAAATTAAGAGATTTTATTTAGTGACATATCTTTGACATGTAATTAGAGCAACCAAGATCCAAATCTCATTAGCCATGTATTTAATGCAAATTGAAAAAATAATACCACTGCGTAAGTTTAGATTTCATTCATAAAAAGAGTGTTCAACCTGCAAGCCCATGTTAGAATATAAAAGTATAATCATTAATCATCACCATAACTTCAAGTTTTCGGTGTAGTGTTGGCTTTTGGCAGTTTAAAAAAACATGTATATATGCTCTGATGAAGAAGCAAGGGGGTATGGGTCTTTTTTCAGCTAAAGCTTTGAACTTTGCAGCTACAACAAAGCTATTATGGATGATTCATCTTAAAAAAGATTTGCTATGGATTAGGTGAATTCATGAAAATTATCTGCAAACTTCTAATAACTGGCAGGTTCAATGCAGGGTGAATGATTCATGGATGTGGAAACAGCTCCTCAAAGTTAGGGATATGGTGTTAACCAAGTTTGATAATGTTGATAATCTGCAAAGTATCATTGATGGTTGCTACACCAATGGGAAAATCCAGCTATCTTCTGTGTATAAAGCTCTAATTCAACCAGCTTCCTCAGCTGCTTGGTCTAACACAGTTTGGGAATGTTTTTATTTTTCATTATCCTAAGCAGTCATTTATTCTATGGTTAGTCAATCAGTCCAGACTTCTCACTCGGGATAGACTATGCCGAATGGGAATATTGGACACAAACCAATGTGTCTTGTGTTCTAGGCATCAATCAGAAACTAACAGACATCTCTTCTTTGAATGTCAGTTTTCTGCTGATATTTGGAACAAATTGATGAATTGGTTGGGATATACCTGGAGATCTTGTGATTGGAATTACCTTATTAATTGGTACTCCTACAATCTGAAAGAGGTTCATGAAGAAATTGAAGAGAATGACTCTCTCGGTTACAGTTTATTTGATCTGGCAAGAAAGAAATTTGAGAATATTTCAAGGTAAAGCTCACGATCCAAGCCTTTTTTTAGCAGTCAAAATTTCTATTCGTTCCAAAGTTTTGAATGATAACATACATGTTCATATGAAAGATATACTTGAGAAAATGTAAATTCCCTACTTGTTTACCAGGCAGTGTCCTGGTATTTTGATGTACTACACAACTTCATATTTGGAAAATGAATAAAATTTAATTCATTAACCAAAAAAATAATTTTGATTTACTTTAAAATTTGATGTAGATTGATAGATTTTTGTTAATTTTCTTTAATAACGATGGCAGTTTCAATAACAATACTAGTATTAAGCAGTGATGTTAAAAATGAAAGAGAGATGGGTCACTTGGTACCTAGCTATCTGGTTCCAGGTAACACTTCTCATGACTAGAATCTTGTTTCTCTCTTTTTTTCTCTCTTTTTTCCCATTACTGCTTACATTATCCCCAATCCAAAGATTAACTATGGTAGCTACCAGCAGGTGGTGAGAATTTACAATACATTGATGGTGAGCAAAAGACATCTTAATCTAATAAATATTTGGATCATTTTAGTGCCTCTTGCATATGTCCCTATCCTCTCTCTCTCTCTCTCATCCCCAGGCAATTCCCTTAACCAGTTTGGTCTCATATATACCTTGTCATTTTCTAAACCTTAGAATATTAGTAATGATATTTAACCCTAACCCTAGCTTCAACCTAAATAAGCCACTGCTTTTAGTCTTATACACTGGTATCACCTTTTCCATCCCACTTTGCCAAAAGTAAAAGCAATGAAGAAAGCAAGAGAAATAAAATATAGAAAATGGG